ATTTATAAATTAAAAAGAAATATGAAAAAGTTGAACAATGTTGAAAGTAGTGTTGAATTTTTGAAATGTTGCATATATATATTTGTATATATATATATATATATATATATATATATATATATATATATATATATATATATATATATATATATATGGTGAATAACTGAATATAATGGTTCATAATTTTAAATATTATTAAAGAAAATTTGATTTTATTTCGTTCATAAGTTGAATGAGTAGGAAATAATAATTAATTTATTGTTAAAGAGTTTTAAAGATATAATGAACGGTGATTTATAAATTAAATAATTAAATTAAACAATCACCCACAGGCAGACAACCCATCCAACCAATTCATCAACGTCGTTAGTACAATTTCATCAGTTCACATATTTTACTTTAAATTCTATTTTTATACCGTGCCCTGTTAGCAGATTCAATTTCTTCAACCATCACATATTTTTTGCTTATTTATTTTCATTTAAAACGTGGTTATATCAATTTTAGTGTGCTGTGTATTTCAATTCGTTGAACCGGTGTTCTTTGATATTTCGTTAATTTTTTTAAACAAATTCTCAATCATTTGATTCAATTTTTATTTTCAATCATTCATCATTCTGACGAATTCAACATTTGCATTTATCAATTATTACAAATAAATTTATTATTAATAATGATTAATATAAATGTTGACATTCAAAACACCTGCTAAATAATTTTAAAACTGAATATTGTTTCTACTGTCCAGCGTAGCAAACCCGATTTGATAGATTTCCCAGCATCGGCGGCCGCATGTTCAACATCCATCGGACAAACTCTGCTGCCCATCTTAAGAAAGGTACATTCGCCTCTTTTCTTGTTTTTCAGTTTTTGTCAAAAGCATTCCACTAAATCATTATGACGTGGTCGTAGGATTCACCCACTCATTAAATGCTTGTTGAATCAGAAAATTGAAACTCTTTTTAATACGATGGAGTGTCTATTAATGAAATTAGTTGCCCGTGCGTAATTACTTAATTAAATTTTAATTCAAACGCACTCTATCTAGATGAAGATCTCGGCGAGTTCATTTGCAGATTTCCAACAAGCGCTAGAAACATCTGATCGTCTGTGTCCTGGCATAGTCGATGAGTTTGTCGGCGAACTGGTAGCCGCACACGTTGGCCACAAGCTGGCTTGGGATAAAGTCACTGCGGCTATTCAAAGAGTTGAGAGTGGCTCTAAATGAGATGCTGCTGTTATATCCTCCTGGCCCATCCACTTCATCATTACTACAAATGGCTGAACCTGGATGATGCAAAAAAGATTAGAAGATGTTGAGTTCGCTATTTTTTGGTAGCGTGTTTGTGTGTTTAATGTTTTTTTACCCATCCCTTATCAGTGTGGCTTATTCATTGTCGTTTGTATGTATGTCTGTCTTGTTAATTTAGTTTGTTCAGTGTGGCTCAGTGTGGCTTATTTATTATCGTTTGTATGTATGTCAGTCTTGTTAATTTTGTTTGTTGATCAACTTTTTTTTTATTTAGTTTCTTTTCATATAGAAAAAATGCATCTCGAAACTTATATAGACTTAAAATTTTTTATGTAGTGAAACTTATGTCGGAATGTGTAATTTATACTGTGGATGGTGTTTCTTTGGACGATAATTACACTGAACCTAAAGATTATTTATAAATTCGTTTGTAAATTGTTGATGGAATTTTAATTTGTTCAAAGTATCAAATTTTATATGTCCATTAAATATTCGTTTGTAACGTTATTGAATTGATAATCGCATTGTAAAGCAACAAGCTTGTTATTTATCATCCTCAATTGTTTTACAACATTCAACATTCATGCTAATAGTTAAATTTGATATTCCATTATCTGTATCAAATGGTTTGTTTTATCCTCAATTCTTGGCTTTGTTTCTATTTAAATGTCTTTGTAAGTTGATTTATAAATGTATCTAATATTACACAACGCACACACCACATATACGCCACACACACACACACACACACACACACACACACACACACACAAACGCACACTCACACACACACGCACACACACCAAATGATTTTAACAACCTTTGCCGTCAATAGTCATTTAAGTCAATGTCTAACCATAATATCTATCCTGTCTTGTCATTATGATTCAATCAAATTAATTTAGTTTTTTTGAGTGATGCCATTAAGTCAGCCTTATTTTATTTCAATCTTTCATGATTTGGTTTTTTTTTATTTTTTGATTATTACGAAATAAAATTAATGCCACATTTAAGTAATTAACGATTGAGTTGTCTAAATGTTAATATAATCGGGTGTGATCATGGTCAAGCAACAATTTTTTTAGCAATCACGTTGTTGTATACGCCAGGCTCAAAGTTCAATTTATAAACTGCAGACAGATACATAAACGAACGGCCAATACACTTTTGTTATTATTATTATCACTTGTTGGTAATGTTTATTATACACATACATTCCATTGCACAGTACGATCAATCTTACGCAGCGTATTTGTATTTGAAGTGACGATGTGTCTAGAATTTTTTTGAGTTGATTTCATTCACAATTAATAGTAGATTGCCCACACATCGATGTAAATATTGACGATTGTAATGTAAATAATTTTTTAATTTATTGTAATTTTGATTGAACCCTATACAAAATCGTGCTTTCTTTAATTATTGTCGCCGCACAGTCATAATCATAATTTATTGATAATATTATTACCAACTTCTTTTTTTGATATATAAGCTTATGTTTATTGAATGCTAATTTTAAAATTTTATTTATAATTGTATTGATTAGTAAATAGTCAATTATTATTTATTTTTACTTTTATTAAGTTTTTTTATCGTCTATTTTTCATGATCGTTGGTACATCAGGGCTTAAAATCGTATTTGTTCAACCGATTGAATCAACAATACTAACAGAGTTTTTAACAAACTACGAATATATGTACCTAATTTCTGTTTTTTCTGATTACTCTCAAATAATTTACGCATAGCAAACAAACTGATATAGATTAACACAATTCATAATGTTATGTATCATATATTATCTAATTTTTCCATAAAAAAGATGTGTGTACATTTGAAAGTTTCAACTAATTCAAGCACTATGTTCAATTTGATTTACACAAGCAATATTATTTAAACCAAAAATATTATTAATTTTTTTTATTGTTTATACACTTAGCCATTGAGAAATCGAAATGCTAAAAAACACACACAATCGTCCATTTTTATAGACACTTTAAAATTGGTGCTTCAATTTTTTTAATTATTTTTTAAATAAATATTTCTTTCAAGTAATAACCAGTGTGCAATGAATGTGCTTGCGGTCATAGCAAAATTGTTCAACGATGCACTAACACAGTTGTAAATAAATAAAATGTTTATGAACTTATCATATAAACTGACCACTTCACCAGGCTCTCAAGTTCTCAACAGCTTTAAGATAGCTTTCGAAAATACTTCACTCATTATATTTGGTCCTCTTTGTTGTTAGTGCTTCTATAAATATCTCGTTTTATAAATCGTTTATGTTCCTCATTGATATCAAAAATCTCTTTTTCTAGGAGTACTGTTCGTGTTTCTTCATAATTACCTACCTGGCATCTTCTCCCCATTGTCCAATCAAGTTCACACAGATCAGACATCCCTCTTTCAATCTTTTATCCAGGATTTACCATAGGTTTTCTCTAATTTGAAAATGTCTGAGACTGTCAATAGGCATTATGACCTGCAGTTGTAATTCATGACATCAAAAAACAAGCAGAAAAAGTTGTTTTTTGAAGAAATTAATAACTAGGTCTCTCTACCTCCGGTAAAATTTCCATGCAATATTTGTGTCACATCTCACACGTCACAATCATTTTTTCTGGAGCAAATAAGTCATTTATATAACAATATTTATATATTGTGCGAGCATATCTACTTTTCTTATGTTATTAACGATTTTTTGTTGGTATATTGTTGATCATTTGGTATTCATAATTATACAATGTAATTTTATTTCTTTATTCATGTTGACTTTTTTACTTCCATTAAGTTAATTAGAATCCAAAATACTTGTTTTTGAGAAATTCAATGTTATTTGTTGAAAATAAACAATGTAACGGCAGGTATGATGTAGGAAATAAATATAAACAGATCGTCACCACTATCGATGTTTGCCTAACCATACGAGCCTATTAAAGGCTTCTGGTCTGAGGTTTGGAAATAAATAAAAAGGAAAAAACAGAAAAGAAACACTTCGTTGTATGTGATTGTTAACCATTTCGGCCTCAAAACATTCAGTAGCACGGTCATGGAAAATTCAAATTGTAATTTATAACTTCCGCCATCATCTGGCAGCAAAATTTGAAAATTTGAGAAACAAAAAAATTTTGATAACGTAAGACGGCGTCTAGTTTGCATTTTAATGTAATTAATCATTTAATGTAACTGTGGTGTTTTAAACAAAGATCTATTTTAAAATCACTCGCTAGGAAAAATTTTTGAACGTGCAATTTTAAGTGGCTTTATAGGAACTTCTATTTAATTTACAAGTTATGATAAAAAAACAAAATAGATAAAAAATAAAAAAAAATAATTATACCTGCAGTTGTAATCTTTAGCTTAAAGGATAAAAAAACGTATATAGGTCTACATGAGTTATTAGATAAATATAATGAATACTTTGAATTATATCAAAAAAAATTTTTAAATTAAAAAAGAATAATTTCCTTACTCGTATAAAAGTCACAGTTACCATTCATTACCAGAAAGAATGAAAGAAATATAACCACAGCTCTCCAACATTATGAACCCACGTGATTATCACATATAAGAAAGAAGAGATTAATTATAAATGTTGAATTAAGTATTCTGTATTGCGTTGTGCGTAAATATTAACACATCCTCATTTAACGGCCCTAAAAAATAATTTTCTATACAGACGTGTAGACGAGAATGATGGCGGACGTTGTTACAACAAATGAACATTCTACAAAAAGGATTCTTACTTCAGAACTTACCTTGCTCAACTTACCTACAGCGTACAATTTCAAATGACATCAATCATTTAATAAAAA